AAATTAGTAGGAAATCCTAAATTTTATAAGAAAACTAAGTATATAGATATAGCTTATTACTATACTAGAATATATATTTTAAATAAAAATATAATAGTTTTCTATATTAATATAGCTAATAATTTAGCTAATATTTTTACTAAGCCCCTAGGCTTAATTAAATTTAATAGTTTCCTTAATAAATTATCTCTAGGTAATATACCTAATTAATAAGATATTAAATAATAAGGTTTTTATAAGCTATATAAATAAATAGTTTTTTCTTTATATATATATATATAAATAAGTTTTTTACTTAAATAATAAAGGTTTTTCTTATTATAATACTAATAGACTCTAATAACTATAATATAGGTTAAATTTCCTATATACTATAATAGGTTGAAATTCCTATATACTATAAAAATACTCTATATAATAGGTTTAAATCCCTATATATAATATAATACTATATAATAATAGGTTTAAATTCCTATATATAACTAGGTTTTTTATATATTTTATATATATAATTTTTCCTATTTTATAATACTTTTATTTAAAGAGATATAAATTTAAGATATACTCTTTATAAGGGGATATAAAGGATAATAGTATAATTATATATACTATAAAAATTACCTAATTTTTCCTATTATAATAAACCCACTTTTATATAATTTAGATAACTATTATATAAGATATAAAGGAGTTATATAACTCTTAAATACTTTAGAATGCCTTTAACGCCTCCTCTTAGATACTCTAGAATACCTATATTAACTCTATATTAGAGTATTTAATAGTTATTTAGAAGTAGAAGAAAGGTCTTTATAGTCTCTAGCTATAAAGCATAGTAATCCCTTTATATAATTTATATATAATCTTTATAGCTATTAATATTATAATTCTTCTTTCTTCTTCTTTTACCTATTTAATCTACTTTTCCTACTTATAACTTATATTTAATAGACCTTCTACTCCTTCTACTTAAGCATCTTATACACCTTAACAATATTATACTATTATAAGCTAGGCTCTAGCCTAGCGCCTTCTAAGAGTAGCTAGTATAGAGCCCCTAGAGGGGGCCTTTATAGGTATAACTAGGTAATAATTAGTTAGTATTGTTATTATAAATCCTTTTACCTTCTATAGTTAAGTAGGCAAGAGGGTTATAGCTATAAGGCTACTAATAGCTATAGTGCTAGTTGCTACTAGAGCCCCTCTAGGGCTAGTCCGTTATATATAATAATACTACCCTAGGGTTATAGGCAGCGGCTCGTCTAGGGGGTTTGTGGCCTATCTGTGGCGCTGGGGAGAGGGAAGGTATGTTACGGGCTAGGCTCTGGCCTAGCGCCTTCCAAGAGTGGCCAGCGCGGAGCCCCTGGAGGGGGCCCTTATAGGTGCAACTAGGCAATAATCGGTCAGTATTGTTGTTACGAATCCTTTTGCCTTCCATGGTCAAGTAGGCAAGAGGGTTGTGGCTGTAAGGCTACTAACGGCCACAGTGCTGGTTGCTACTAGAGCCCCTCTAGGGCCAGTCTATTATATATACTTATTTAGTACCTTTAATAGTATTATATTAAACTAGTATTAATATAGTCTTTTTTAATATTAGGATAATATATAAGTTAGCTTTAATTATTATTATACTATATTATACTTAAGCCTATATACTTATTAGTATACTTATATATTAATAGTTATATAAAATTACTTTATATTATATAATTAATATATTTATTTATAATAGCCTTAATATATTTATACTAAATAGTATATTAGCTTTTAGCTTAGGTACTATAATTATATTAATTATTTAATATATTATAGCTAATATACTATTCTATTATATATTAAAAAGATATAGTAAAAAGTATATATACTTTATTACTATATATTAAGCTTACTCTATATTATATAGTTATATTAACTATACTTTTATAAGTAAGGTTAAGTTAAGATAATTCTTAGCTAACTATCTTTTATTTATTAATATAATACTAAAGCTAGTATTAGTATATATATTATAAAGTATACCTAGTATATTTAAGTCTAGGTAGACCTAGAAGTATAGGTATAACTAGCTAGAACCTTATAGTACTTAAGTTATTAGGCTATATATAACTATTACTTAAATAATCTATAAAAGTAGTTATAATCTAGGAAATATATTCTAGAAGATATAATATATAGCTAGTAGTATTATATTATATTTAATATATATACTTATAAAAGGGTTATTATAAAGAATATTAAAGTAAGTAAAATCTTAATTATTTAAGTTAATAGCTATATTTAGATAAGCTATATATATATATTTATATAAATTATTATTAGAATTAAAAGCTTAGCTATAAATATAGTACTTAATTATACCTTATATAGTAATAATAAAGTAAGTATTAATAGTCTTTTTTAGCTTTTTAGTTAGGGTATATACTATTATAGCTTATAGATTATTAAAATAATCTACTAGGCTATATTCTTTCTTCTTTAATAGTATATTTATAAACTAGTTATTTTCCTAGGTTATACCTTAATTCTTTATTTCTTTATCTTATTAGTATATATTTACTATTTACTATAGCTTATTATTTTAATTATATCTTTTTTAGTTATATAGCTAGTAAGGAGTATAATATAAAGGGTATATATTATTCTTATACTTATTATAGTTATTACTATTTTTTTTAAAGCTATTTATATTCTATATATTATTAGTAGTTTAAAATAAGATACCTATATTATTATAAAATAGTTTAAAAGGGGTTACTTATAAGGCCTTTCTTATATTCTATAGTTACTATATATAGCCTTAGCCTTACTATATATATACTAAGAGTAGGAATTACTAACTATCTTAATAGCTATTTAACTATTATTATCTTTATTATTTATTATAAAACTAGCTATAAATATTATATAGCCTAAATAGGTATTATACTACTTAATCTAAATATAATATATAAGGTATATTATTCTACTTTTACTTTATAAGATCTTTTATTATATTTTATTACTTTTATAATATTATTATAAGCTATAAAGCTATAGTATTTAATACTAATAGTAATAATAGGCTATAGATTATTAGGTTAAGAGAGTTATATACTATTTAAAGCTATATTTACTAGCTTAATTTATAAGCTTATATATTTCTTAATACTTATAAGGTATATATTTTAATATTATAACTATTATATATATTTATTAAAGTATATTAAGTCTTTATTAGGTTTTTAGTAGTTTTTATTATTAGCTTTTATTATCTTTTAATAAGACTAAAATAGATATTTTTTATAAATATATTATAAAGTAGTTATTAGTTTATTATAATAAAGTAACTATTATACTATTAAGTAGCTTTACTATATAAATAAGTTACCTAAATATTCTTAACTTATTACTTACTATAATTAATAATATACTATTTAAGCTAGTTTATAAATATATAAATATAGATAAAGGTTAGATCCTTACTAGCCTTTATAACCTACCTAGTTTCTTATTTATTCTAATATTTAAGGTTAAGATTAAAAAAACTAATATTATTCTTTTAAAGCTTAATTAACTTAAGCTTACTAGCTATTATTAATACTATTACTACTATAAATACTACTAGTATTTCTTTATAATAATATACTAGGGTTATTTTTATAATAGTAGCTATTTATATTAAGGCTACTAAGAAGAATATACTAATATTCTATATAGGTAGTAAGAGGTTATTTAGAAAGGGTATACTTCTTATCTAGCTTACTTAATAAATTATTTAAAGATTTAAGGTTATTTACTATTTAGTATCTATCTATATATAATAAGATAAGCTAATTTCTTTAAGCTAAGTAATAAAATTTAAAAAAAAAAGGCTAGTATTAAGGTTAAATAGGGAGGGGTTTAGGTCTATATTAGGAAGGTGCCTAATAGGCTAAATACTTATACTTAGCTTCCTTCCTCTTATCTACCTACTTTCTATCTTTCTTACTCTTTTTATTATATTTATTTTTCTTTTTAATATAACTTAGGTCTTATTAAGAATAGCTTTATATAGGCTTAGTAAATAAGCTATTTTATAAAGACTATATAGTTTCTTATAAGTATATATATATTTATATAAGTTCTCTAGGCTTTTAAAATAGTATATACTATACCTAAGTTAAAAAGAGTCTCTTTTTACTTATTTATCTAGTCTTATATATATATAATATAAATTAGCTAGCTTATAATATAAGCTAAATAATCTTTATCTATTTTTATATAAAATAGCTTAATATTAATATATTATTTAGCCTATTAAAACTAGTATATTTTAGCTAGTATTTAAGTTAACTAACTTAGCTAGATTTACTTTTATAATATAGGTATTAAGAGGGGGGGGGATAAGGGGATATAGTTTAGTATATTAGCTATAACTAATTATAGGTAAGAAAGAAAAAAATAAAAAATAAAAATAAATATTACTATTAATAAGAGCTTTAAATTTAATAAATTTTAATAGTCTCTAATAATCCTACTAGTATTACTACTATTTTATTAGGTATAAGAGTTTTTAGTAAGATAATAATATATTCTCTAGGCTAAGTAGGTGGCTTATGCCCTAAGTAGTGCTTATGTGTGCACGTGCACGTGATAGTATTCGCTAATGGACTCGGATAACAGCCACATTAGAGACCCCATGTTGGCTAAAGGATAGTCACCGTATGTCTACGCGTTTTTTTCTTGCAATTTTGAATACACGTCGCTCCCCAACGCCAAGTCATCAGCAACGCTGACCAGAGGGAAATGGACGTCTGTTGCATGCACTGCCCGTCACAGCAGCCTCGCTCTCCGCACCCCCTGCGGACGGACGGCCCGTCCAGTGGGCGGCACACGATACGATGAACGGCGCTTTGTGCTAATTGTATTGCATGAATTGTTTGAGCCTGTCACAGTTTATGTATTCCTGGCAGTTGTAGTTGATTAAGTATTGGTTTTAAGATGGAAATGGCGCTCTGTACCGGGTTGCGGCTTCAGCCCTTTCACCGACCACCGGCGAACCACCGGCGAAACCCCACCAACCAGCCGAAATGCATTTGCACATGCAAATTGCCAGCATAACTATTTCTGTTGAGCTTCTCCGCCGCCTGTACGGAGTAACTATGTAGTTACGCATGCAGCTCTATATTGCGCATTTTCCATCCAAACTCTGCTTAGGCCAATCTTGTCCTCCTTTGGCAGCCATATGACTTGGCACAGACTTGGCCACGTTTTTATACAGGTAGCCTTGTTCTACGCAACGTAATCAAACGACGTCTTCCACTGCGCAACCATTTCCGCGCATCCCAATGCCTTGTTGTCTGTGCCATGGCCACTACTAACCGCCTCACTTGCTAACTTGATACCAAAGTATCCGACTAACGAGTTACTCCCTCCACTCTCCTGTCCCCTTGCCTCTCCGTGCGTCGCTTCCTTGCACAATCCATCACAAGCCAAAACGCGCACACACCCTACCCATGCCATGAGAAACGAGCCCCTTGCTCCGTCATCCTGGTCCACAACCGAGGGTATCCTTTCTCAACCGTTTCAATTCAGCCAGTACGTGTCTACTAGTGACCTAATCTAGATAGAGTAAGTTACTGATATAGATATGCGTCCTTGCCGCCGTCTATTGACATGTGAACAGCTCTTCTTCCTGCGAGACGCGAAAGCATACACGTCACGTCCTTGAGAGCCTGGTCACGCTCAATCTGCCGGATAAGCATCCAACAACCAAGGGAAAAATACAGACAATATTCGTAAATCGCTGCTCGATTCTTTTCCTTCTTTTTTTCCTTTTTTTTTTTTGCCAGACAACGCTCGGGACCCTTGCGAGCGCTCTCCTGTAACTATTTTGGCGGAGCTGACCCATAGATTGATCACACCACTATACCGATACATTCCCCGATATCATATAGATCACATTGAGAATGGAAATGAATTGAGTCGAGGGGCTCCATCAACAACTGACAAAACGAAAGCCGTGTCCGTACTGCTGCAAACAGGAAACACTGCCACCTGTGTGCTTGACAAATAAACACACGTTACATAAACCAGGTATACAAGGTGCAACCGTGTTTCATCAACTTGAGTGGCGTGACAAGAGCATTGATCTGTAGAAAGAGAATAGAGGTAACGGGTGGTTTTGAATTGAGGCAGAAACGGGGAAGAACGTGTGGTATGCGGTGGCACAGCTTGTCTTGCTTAGGCTGAGTTGCAGGTCGTCGTCACGAGATTTATCCGCCGGGCAGAGAGCGTCTTTGCAACCAGACAAGGCGAATGGGTTCAGCAGCATTGTTGCAGGCGGATCAAGAGGAAAGAGAAGGGTGTAATAAAAAACAATATAGATAAAACAAAAGCAGAAGAATACTCACGCAGGTCGGATTTCCAAGCCAGGCTCGTCCGATACTGGCATTGGCATACGGTATGCCTCTAATTGGGCGGGCGGTTGCGCGACAGTGATATTTGTCAAAGCTTCGTCGGCCGTCACCGCTGGAAAGGGCGCCTCTGCCGGGCGAAGATATGTTTCCATGCTGAGCAGCCATGATAACGTCTGGAACGGCCACGTCGGCCATGCTGTTGTGGTCTTGGGCTGTACTGTTGCAATACTATAAGGTTGGGGTAAGAGTTGCCGGAGCCTGCGGCGCTGATGCGACAAAGATGTGTGGCGTTTGCTCAACTGGTCAGGTCACGGAAGAGCGTTTGGTGACAATCTATTGACAACAAGGAGTAGTTGACGACAAGGAGTAGTTGACTACAAGGAGAAAATAGACTAGCGACGGCTTGTTGAAGAGACACCTGAAGAGAGTCACGGTTTCGGCGGCGGTGCCAGCGGTTGCAGGATGCAGGTTTGCATGGCGTGATATGAGACTGATGAAATGGTTGAGAGGTCTGGCCCGCCACGAAAGCAGATTGTGCAAGTGCGAAGCAGGATGAAGGACCGAAAAGCAGGCGACGAAACAGTATGGCAGAAAACGTAGAAAAGAGGTATCAATTCATCACGAAACTGTCTTCCTCCCCCGATGTTTCATCTTCCGTGAAGGCGATCCCGTCCTCGAGAGCTCGATCTTCTTCAGAGTAATTGTAGTGGACAAAGCTGTTCTTTGTTTAGTGGACAAAGTCCTTCTTTGTGTAGTGGACAAAGCTGTCTTTGTTTGGGGTCCACTTTCGAAACTTTCGTATTGATTCGCTTCTTTGTAGCTGTTGCCAGAGTATGTAGTGTTATATCTTGCTTTCTTCAAAGATGGCGGGCTGTCTCGGCCTTGCCCATAGTTAGCTGTGAGAAGCAACAGTGACGGCTGATCCAACGCTCTGCCGAGAACAATCTGATCTTTCGCTCTTTCCCCGCTGACGTCGCACTCGAGGACACCCGACCACCCAGCTACCGGCTTACTGACAACAACATCACCAAGACGAACATTATCCTTCGTATCGGGCACTCCTCCGCAATACCTACCATCAGATTGAGCTGCGGCCACCTCGACAGGCAAACGGCAGAGCCAGCCAACTACATAGTCTTCACGGGACGCCACCTCCAGACAGGGTGCAGGTCGAGAAACGTGAGACTCCGGGAGCGTCGGTGCCGATGCGTTGTGTTAGCGGTGCGTGAAGCTGCCTGAACGGCCCCAAAGAAGGCGGCGAGACGGTTTGGCCCGAATGAGAATAAGGCGGGCTTGGCAAACGCACGTATCGCGGGAAAGGGGGGTAACTAATCAAACCCCATCAATGCTGACTGCATGCTTGAGATGCATAGTGCCTGCGCTAGACGAAACGCCGATTAGCTAGTCCCCAGTTCCCCAAAGAACTACGCATTTATTCGGAGACCTGCTAGCCGGACCGACTCTTTTTACTAGACGGACTATCTACGTGATTCTAGAGAAATGGGGTTTAATAAGGTATATGATTTTAGGTATGATTTATACATAAATAGAAGTACCTTTAAAATGACGTATTTTTTCTTGCCTAATTGACTTCCCTATACATATACTCTCTAACACTAATTTGCTTAAAAAACATATTGTTGCTAATGTTGACACTTCTACTCCGTAGTGTAGGATAACCTCTTTATTAAGCTAGCGGTAGTGGAATTTTCTTAGTAAAAAGGGATTTTAAAGGAGTTAAGTTGTGGCCTCGCTTGTAACAAGGATATAAGTCAAGAAAAACAGGGTTACAAGCATGGTACTTAGCCTTTGGTGTAGTATAGCGGTAAATACCAAGTACATAAATAGACTAACCTAGGGGTGATCACGTGGACAGTCCGTCAAGCAAACAAAAAGAGTCGGTCTGGCTAACAGGTCTCTTTATTCGATTCTATCCTTATTCATTCATAAATTCCGGCCTTCAGACATTATACATCACCGGGTGCGACTGTAAAATGGCGTCCACCCCCCGTCTCCGAGTTCCGGCCAAGGAGCCAGAGGCGCGCCAAGGGCAGGGTATGGAAGGCAACGCATCCTGGTCCGGGTCCGGGGAGGCAGGGGGCCCGGCTCTTCTCTCGTTCGACGAGATGCCAGAATGGTTTCAACACGAGAATAACCAGTGGATTCTTGACGGTTACCGGCCCATCTCGGGCTCGGCTCGCGCCTCGTTCCGCAGCTGGCGGTATCTCCACAACGAGACGGTCAACATCTATTCCCATCTCATTCCGGCCGTTGTCTTCCTCCTCGGTGAGTGGTTCATCTTGCAGCACCTTGCTGGCAAATATTCCAGAATTACTAGCACCGATTATGCTGCTTTCTCAGTATTCATACTTACGGCGACTATTTGTTATGCATTTTCGGCTGTTTATCATACTTTGATGAACCACTCTTCCACTGTGGATCATTTCTGCCACCGACTAGATATGCTTGGCATAGCGATCTTCATTGTCGGTGATATTGTCTTGGGGGTATATATAATCTTTTGGTGTGAGACTACGCTACGCATTATTTATTGGTCCATGGTTAGTTGATCTCTATATACTCGGCTTTTCCTGTCCTAGGACAGGTAATCGGATCTAACACGCCCTTCATCGGTTAATAGATTGGGGGTTTCGGGGTATTGACTATTATGACGAACGTCCATCCCAGGCTCCAGAGCCACAAGTATCGCTCCCTGCGAACACTAACGTTCGTGGCGACTGGCATGTCGGTTGTGGCGCCCTTGATTCATGGGCTCGATATATTCGGGCTAGACCTGATGAAGAAAAAAGCTTTCACCTATACCCTGGTGGCAAAGATAGGCTGCCTTCTATCTGGAACCGCACTTTACGCAGTGAGTCTCCCATTTTGCCCATAGCGGAGAAAAACTGATTCTGATAGACGTGCTTCGAAAGATGAGGTTTCCCGAAAGTTGGTGGCCTGGAAAATTCGACATGTTTAGCTCCCACTCATTCATGCATATCCTAGTGGTTTGCGCCGCTGTTATCCAGATGATAGGGTATCTGGAAGCCTTCGACTATGCTTACTCACATATTACCTGCTCGGCCTCTTGAGTTTGCTCCCTTTTGTAAAGCCTCTAACCACGGGGACGAGCGGCGGCCTCGCAACCCAGGTAGCGCTGTTGGGGATTCTGGTGGCAAGGTGGCCGGGGAGAGAGAGCAGTTGCAGCGTAGTGTGCCTCAGAAGCGAGACAAATTTGCCTCAATTAACTTACGCACTGCTTGTAGTCCGTGTAGTGCAGCCTCCTCGGTTGCCTAAAGCTACAGTACGACAGTACCTATGGGATGCGGGTTGCTTGCCACTGGACGGTGCAAAAATTAGTGGAAAGGGAGTGTGCATATTCCCTTGAGCAAGCCAGTTATTATGACTCTTACCCGTTGAAGGGTAGGCCCTTTTGCCAACGGCTTGTACCTTGACAAGCCTATTAACTACCTAGTGGTTAGGTTAGTAGACAGCAACCCCTAGGCTCCTTCCACAGGCTGAACAAAGTAACCCTGTGAGGGGCACTACGGTGCGCGTCGACTTCCATGAATGCGGTCGCTAAACAAAACAGGCACTTTGGCCGAGTGGTTAAGGCGCCGTCTTCGGGAAGTGAGCTTCGGCTCATTTGGTCTTTTGAAACGGTACAGAGAAGATTAGCATGGCCCCTGCACTAAGGATGACACGCAATCTCAAAGAGAAGCTATAAGTTTTTTTTTTAAAAAAAAAAGTATTGTTGTTACGAATCCTTTTGCCTTCCTTGGTCAAGTGGGTAAGAGGGTTGTGCGCCGTAAGGCCCACTGATAGCCCCCGAAGCCCCTCTAGGGCCAGTCCGTCACAATAATATTAATATTCTAATAAATATATTTTTGAACAAATACCCCGCCTGGTTAGCTCAATCGCCGGGTAAGATACTAAATAGGCAACTTTCACTATTCCTAACTAAGTAGTAACCTTTTTAATACTAAATAAGCAACTTTTACTATTCTTAACTAAGTAATAACCTTTTTAATACTAAATAGGCAACTTTTACTATTCCTAACTATTAAGGTATATAAGATGCTTAAGTAGAAGGAGTAGAAGATCTATTAAATATAAGTTATAAGTAGGAAAAGTAGATTAAGTAGGTAAAAGAAGAAGGAAGAAGAATTATAGTATTAATAGCTATAAAGATTATATATAAATTATATAGAGGGATTACTATATTTTATAGCTAGAGACTATAGAGACCTTTCTTCTACTTCTAGATAACTACTAAATACTCTAATATAGAGTTAATATAGGTATTCTAGAGTATCTAAGAGGAGGTATTAAAGGCATTCTAGAGTATCTAAAAGTTATATAACTCCCTTATATCTTATATAATAGTTATCTAAATTATATAAAAGTAGGTCTATTATAATAGGAAAAATTAGGGTATTTTTATAGTATATATAATTATACTATTTTATCCCTTATATCCCCCTATAAAGAGTATATCTTAAATTTATATCTTTTTAAGTAAAAGTATTATAAAATAGGAAAAATTATATATATAAAATATATAAAAAACCTAGTTAT